GTCTATATATATATACATATTATATATTGTTTTGTACCTATGTATTTGGTAAACGTCACCATAGTATTTGATATTCATATCGATATATTTTGTGAAAAGCGCATTAATACCTTCTAGTTTTTGTAATAGACCTACAGATATACATATCGAAGCATATATCTATTATCTCTATCTTATACATATACTATATATATACATATATATTTAGGTAATTAGGTAAACATTTATGTTGTTACAGACCTTAGTTGATTTTAATGAGATTTTTTAGGTGATCTAGGTTCGATTTAGTTAGATCGAATAATTTTTGACGAATTACTATACTATGTATACGTTCCTATCATTGAGATTACTAGTTAACTATAGCTTTTTGGGAAGTCACTATAATACCGTTAGTTTAGAATATACTTTAGGTCTTTCTTCGCGGAAGATTCCGATCAACTCTTCCTGCTACAAATGAATACGCATAATCGAATTAACTGGAAGAATGAAATTTTTAAATAAATTAAAATGTCTTTCCAAAGGAAAAGTAAAAGATACGTGCAGATGAGAGGAAGAGGAACGTTCGTTATGTTTTCCACGAAGAATGCATACTATCAGCGGCTTTAAAGAGACCTATTACAATGTACCTATTACTTAACAAGCTACGTTACATAGTACGTTTATATTACGTTAAACGTAATATTATACCTCTCTATAGGGTATATACTAAATATATGTCGTGCGTATACCCCTATACACCTATACCTTGTGCCAACCTGTACCGTTAACTCTCCGACCCTAGCCCACAAAACCAACAGACCCCTTTCCGCCGCCCCCGTACTGTCCACCCTAAAAATGAATACCTATTACTCGTTACATAGTATTTAACTCTTCTAAGCTATATAGCATCATTTACCTTAATAATAATGCGTGAGACGTGTGTCCTAGAAAGTACGTACTTTGCCCGAGAGGCTCAACAGTGTCAGTTTCGTAAGTAGACCAGATCTTAACATGCGGTTATCTTTCTGTTCACCTTTGTAATGCTTTGTTGGGCCGGATTTTGGTTGTTACGGGAACCGTAGCGTTGCGCATAGACAACAACAACAACTACAACAACAAACGACAACGACGACAACGACAACAACGTGAAATGGAAACGAATGCAAAATAAACGAAAAGAAAAAAAGCAGAAACGAAATAAATAAGATAAAATGGAAAGAAAAAACGTGATATTCCGATCAAGAAACAGCGAGTTTCGAACGGAGGCGAGAAGGATAAACAATAGAGAATGGAAAAGTCGAGATAAGGAAACCGATAACGAGAAAGCAAAATTGTTTCGCGTTCCACGGTTGCAAATGTTCCGCCGCGATATTCTCGTTCTGTCAGTTTGAGAAAGTATCCAGCGGGGAGGGATCAAAGAAATACCCGTAAAATTCCGAAAGAGTAACTCGATGGGATTCCATGTTGCCAAAGCTATCGATGTGACGTAAATGTTAATCGAGCGGCAACTCGATCGTAAACTCGAGCGAGACGAGCTTTATACGCTCCTCGAAACTGTAAGAGACTATTAATGTTAACGTCGTACGTAAACGTCAGCTTTACGTGAAATCGATTTGTTGCATCTGAGAAAGTACACGTACATTATTATTATTATCATTATTATTCTTACGATTATAATATACATTACTATTACACTTACTATTATGATTACTATTATTATCTCTATTATATTACATACGTACATGGAATAGTTATAAATGTCAGCTATAACACAGATTACATTACGCGTTGCAATATATGCACATTACAAATATTTACATAAATAAAATAAAAAATATATATATACTTATATATAAATATATATATATATTATTATCTGAATCTATTTACGTATTATATACATATACATATACATATCTTTAAATTGATCTATATGACAGCAAAAACAATGGTATTTGAATAAATACGAAATTAATGTTCGATGCACATGCGAAGTTTTCATTGTCGTTCGGATGGATTCACGAAAAAGAATGATAATATTCAAAGAAAGAGAACGAACGAAACGAAAGAGAACAGAGAACAAAACGAAAGTCGAAAACCATGTCACGTGAAAAGATTAGAGTTGTTGCGTGCTTGACGTAATCAAAACCAGCCCGGTAGAATGACATTTAGGTACGGAATCACTAATACTATTAATATGTATCAGTGTATCTTAATGGCTAGAATAAATGCTCTTATACTTTTTTCCATCTGCGTATATTGTGAGAGCAGCGTCGATATGGACACTAGAATAGTGAATCAGTAGTGTAGTATTGTGGTCGGTGTTTTTTTTCAATATTGTATCGTCGATCTAAATGTGGTAGTGGTGCCGGTGATGTGTCGAGCTTTATACAGAAGCTGTTTAAAAGAAGAATCTTTCGGAAATTCATTCTGTTTGAAATGGTGCACGATTAAACATTTGAATAGAGGGAACTTATCTAAATTGCTGGAGATACTTCACCATAATCGCATGACACATTACCGGCCCTTAGTCGATATCTAATAAGCTACATAGTCAGCCTAGCAAATATTACTTAACGGTAAATGATTAACCAATACCTTGAAGGCTACAATAACCATAGATCATAGGAGGGTTTATTTTGTCGTAGATTGGAAACACCTTCGGCCGCGCGTAGTTACTAGTACCTTGTCACAGAATTTAGTCGATGCGCTACATAGTCGATGCGATATACATCTATAAATAGTCAGAATCTTAGTTGTGTGGTCTTTTCAATTAGTAACAAATTATGAAATTTCATGGATGCCTTTCTCTCTCTCTGTCTGTCTCTCTCTCTGTCTGTCTCTCTCTCTCTCTCTCTCTCT